GTGGTATTCGGAGCTAATCCTTTTTGTTGTTGTTTTTGGATATGATAACTCAGGCCCTAAATTTCCATCTTTTCCTCAATTGCTGAATTTTCTGGCTAGAGTTTTCCAGGTAACTAATTGAACTTTTGACTTTCTTTTTCTTTTTCTTTTCTTTTCTTTTTTTTTTTTTTTTTTGAGACAGAGTCTCGCTCTGTCACCCAGGCTGGAGTGTAGTGGCACAATCCTGGCTCACTGCAAACTCTGCCACCTGGGTTTAAGAGATTCTCCTGCCTCAGCCTCCCAAGTAGCTGGAATTACAGGCGCCTGCCACCATGCCTGGCTAATTTTTGTATTTTTAGTGGAGACAGGATTTCACCATATTGGCCAGGCTGGTCTCAAACTCCTGACCTAGTGATCCACCTGCTTCGGCCTCCCAAAGTGCTGGGATTACAGGCGTGAGCCACCACACCTGGTTTCGACTTCATTTTTTCTATCTAGCTATAACTTTTTTTGTTTTTTTCCAAAATCAGTGCTAAAGCATAAAGATACAGGTTCACTTTTTAATATTCATGTTTCAATAATAAGAATTCTCTTCCAGAATGTTCAGTATGACTTTGTTTTTTTAGGCAAATTACAAAAAGAAGGTGCTTTATCACGAGTATCTGACGAAAGCCTCAGTAAAGTTCAGGAAGCAGAGTCCCCAGTATTTAAAGAGCTACCAGGTGCCAAGGCTAATGATGACAGCACCATCCCGCTCACGGGAGCAGCAGGGGAGACGTCGGGGACCTCAGAAGGCACCTCTGCAGGCAGCCACCCTCGGGCTGCGTACGGTAAGATGTGCCTGGAGAGCTTTGGTTCCGTGGCAGGACAGAGAAGTTCCCTGGGGAGGACCAGCTGGGCCTGGCTGTGGGCAATCTGGTTTTAATGCACAAAAGGATCCCTCGGTTTTATAATTTGAGAAAACCCAGAAGCTAGGGAGGCCTCAGGAAACCATTCCAGTCAGCAGAGCAGGCTCACTCTTGTCTTGTGATTTCTTCCAAGAGCTGTTTATAGTCTCACCGGAGGCACTGGGTCCATACACTGTATGTCTGTGCTGCACCCACTCAGCTACTTATGCAGATCTCCATGCCCCAGGAGTTACCAAATTGCTGAACGTCGGTTAACCCAGCTTACTATGGAAGATGCAAAGAAAGCTAAATTTGTAACCAAGGAGGTGGTCCCACCATCAAATCACAGAAACCTTAGAAAATGTTCAGACTGGCTGGGTGCAGTGGCTCACGCCTGTAATCCCAACACTGGGAGGCCGAGGTGGGTGGATCACCTGAGGTCAGGAGTTCGAGACCAGCCTGACCAACATTATAAAACTCCATCTCTACTAAAAATACAAAAAGTAGCTGGGCATGGTGGTGGGTGCCTGTAATCCCTGCTACTCGGGAGGCTGAGGCAGAAGAATCGCTTGAACCTGGGAGGCGGAGGTTGCAGTGAGCCGAGATTGCGCCATTGCACTCCAGCCTGGGCAACAGAGTGAGACTCCATCTCAAAAAAAAAAGAAAAGAAAAGAAAAGAAAAAACATCCAGACCATTCTGTGTCCTTTAGACTCTCAATGTTTGTGGCAGTACCAGGGGAGCACAGCTTCACCGAAGCCAGCCCCGGTGGGTTCTGGCACCTGCCTGCCATAGGTGCAGTCTCAGATGTGGCCCAGAGAAGGCAAATTCATTTTGCCTGACTCATCTCAGATACTGCCTTTGACAGTCATGACTGACCTTTTAAGATGCACCTAAAAAATTAGCCGGGATGATGGTGCACACCTGTAGTCCCAGATGCTTGGGAGGCTGGGGCGGGAGAATCACTTGAGTGCAGGAGTCGGTGTACAACTATGATTGCACCACTGCACTCCAGCCTGGGTGACAGAGCTGAGACCCTGTCTCTAAAAACAAAACCAAAACAGAAGTACCTGGAATATCTACCTTACATGAAGTAGGTTTTGTCTCAAGTATGAAGTTTTTCTAAGATGAGTTTCTTAACATTCTCCTTGTGTTGGTTTCTAGAAACAGAAAACAAGTGCCAAGTGCCATAGTAATTTCTGGAAGACACTTTTTAGCAGAACTTAAGATGTTTTGAAAATACCACATTATTAGTTTTACCCTTTTATTGTATGTTTCTACGTTTATTATTATTATTATTATTATTATTATTATTATTATTATTTTTAGTGGTAACCATATTACATGTCCTTTATGGCCAACTTAGAAAAGAAAGTATATGTTAATAAGTCATCCCCAGCCTTCCGGAGATAAGTGCCATGAAATAGTAGGGAGTGTTTCCTTTGCTTATATTTGGAAGGCTGGGGCTGGGCACGTTGTCTCACACCTGTAATCCCAGCACTTTGGGAGGCCAAGGCGGGCGGATCACAAGGTTAGGAACTTGAGACCATTCTGGCTAACATGGTGAAACCCCGTCTCTACTAAAAATACAAAAAAAAGTTAGCTGAGCATGGTGTTGCGCTTGTCCCGGCTACTCAGGAGGCCAAGGGAGGAGAATCGCTTGAACCTTGGAGGCAAAGGTTGCAGTGAGCCCAGATGGCGCCATTGTACTCCAGCCTGAGGACAGAGCGAGGCTCCGCCTCAAAAAAAAAAAAAAAAAAAACGACTGGAAAATGAGACCTTCTCTAACCCTTTTCAGGAAGGGCGCTGTCCATGACCCATGGCTCTGTGAAATCGCCCGTCTCCAACGGCACCTTCGGCTTCGACGGCCATACCAGGAGCGACGGTCATGTGTACCACACCGTGCACAAAGACTCGGGGCTCTACAAAGACCTGCTGCACAAAATCCACATCGACAGGGGCCCCGAGGAGAAGCCGACCCAGGAAAGCAACTACAGGCTGCTGCGCCGTAACAACAGTTACACCTGCTACACCGCAGCCATCTGCGGGCTGCCAGTGCACGCCACCTTCCGAGCCGCGGAGTCATCGGCCCCAGAGGACAGCGAGAAGCTGGTGGGCGACACCGTGTCCTACTCCAAGAAGAGACTGCGCTACGACAGCTACTCGAGCTACTGCAACGCGGTGGCAGAGGCGGAGATCGAGGCGGAGGAGGGCGGCGTGGAGATGAAACTGGCGTCAGAGCTGGCCGATCCTGACCAGCCACGAGAGGACCCTGCGGAGGAGGAGAAGGAGGAGAAGGACGCGCCCGAGGTGCATCTCCTGTTCCATTTCCTGCAAGTCCTCACCGCCTGTTTCGGGTCGTTTGCTCACGGCGGCAATGACGTGAGGTGGGTGTGTTCATTCATTCAACAACGGTCCTTGAGGCTCCGCCAGGGGCCAGCGCTGTGCAGGTGCCGGGATCCAGCAGTGAACGGCACCGATGGAAGCCCCTGCCCGGGGTAGGGGTGCACAGGCGGCGGTGGACAGATCCATAAGTCAGCATTGCATGCAGGACAGCGAGAAGTGTTAACAGGAAAGGTAGGTAGGTAGACTCGGGGCAGGAGCTGCCAGGATGGCAATGCGACCTGGGCTGCCCAGGGAAGGGCTGGCCGGTGACGGAGGTGCAGGGGCGGCCACATGGCGTTAGCAGGAAGGAAAACGGCAGGTGCAGTCTTGAGGCGGGCACAAGATGCCTGCCTCCAGGATGAGCTAGGAGGTCGCCGGTCTGCGGGTTGTGGATGCAGAGCGCGTGGCCGATGGACATAGGAAGGAAGGTCTCACCTGGAGAGGGGAGCAGTGGAGATGTGATCAGGGGCCACACAGGGCACGTTTGACAGGGGCACTGGCTTTGGACAATGGCCTGGACACGGATGTGAGAGAAGAAGGAAAGAGGCAGCTGCCAGGACTGGAGCCGTGGCCTTGGCAAAGGCGAGAGTGGAGCTACTGTCTGTTAGGGATGACCGAGGCCCTGGATGCAGCCAGGGAGCGATGCTGCTGTTCAGGCTGAGCAGACAGCGGCCATGTACACCCGAGTTCAGGACAGGCCAGGCTGGGTGCCAAGCAGGTAACATGGGTTACCTGGGTGAGAAGCGCTGGGGCAGCGAGGCAGGCAGGCGGGAGGCAGAGCGCACGGACGGAGGAAACAGCAAGAAGGTGTGCCGAACCAGGATGCTAGAACTTCTAGGAAGTGATTTCATTTTAATTTTTTTTTTTTTTTTTTAAGATAGAATCTCACTCTGTTCCCCAGGCTGGAATGCAGTGGCGTGATCTCGGCTCACTGCAACCTCCTCCTCCCAAGTTCAAGTGATTCTTCTGTCTCAGCCTTCCCAAGCAACTGGGATTGCAGACGCTCACCACCCGGCCCAGCTAATTTTTCTATTTCTAGTAGAGACGGGGTTTCCCATGTTGACCAGGCTGGTCTCAAACTCCTGACCTCGGCCAGATGCGGTGGCTCACGCCTGTAATCCCAGCACTTTGGGAGGCCGAGGCAGGCGGATCACGAGGTCAGGAGATGGAGACCATCCTGACTAACACAGTGAAACCCCGTCTCTACTAAAAATACAAAAAAATTAGCCGAGCATGGTGGCAGGCGCCTGTAGTCCCACCTACTCGGGAGGCTGAGGCAGGAGAATGGTGTGAACCCAGGAGGCGGAAGTTGCAGTGAGCTGAGATCCGGCCACTGCACTCCAGCCTGGGCGACAAAGTTAGAGTCCGTCTCAAACAACAACAACAACAACAACAAAAATCTCCTGACTTTAGGTGATCCGCCCACCTCAGCCTTCCAAAGTGCTGGGATTACAGGTGTGAGCCACCGAGCCCAGCCATCCTTCAGTGACATCTTTAACCCAGTGAGAAGGCTCCACCCCTCTGGTGGGCTTTAGTTCTCCCCACTGCATGGTGCAGCCGCTGGAGCTGCCACCTGAGCCTGCAGGTCACCCCACATGGTAATGTCACAGGCATCCTGCAAATGAGTGTGTAGTGACAGGCGGATATGACCCTCCAACCTTGACCCCACCCACCCCACCCACCCCACCCCACGCTCAGGCCTGGTGTGCAAGAAGCAGGGCGGCCTCCCCCCAAGTTTGGGTCTCTGCTGTCATCTTCCAGCTGTGTAACCCCTAGACAAGGCACTTGCTTTTCCGAAGTCTCTTGTTTCCCAATCTGTAAAATGCGGGAAAACGAGTCCCAACCTCCCAGGCTTCCCCTGTGTAACATGCTCAGGATGGTGCTCCCCACTCACTCGGTTTCCGTCCGTTTCTGCTTGTGCTGTCACTGTCATGGTCAGCCACTGACGGTTCAGGGGACTGTGCCGTTGTCGTCTTCTGTTGCAGTCAGTGACTCCCCATGGGCTGCGCACAACGCCTCCCCACATGCAGCTGCATCTCTGCTCTTTGCTGCAGACGAACCTGGGCATCTTATGTTCTGCTCAGCATCACATGGGCATTTCTGTGGTATTTTATTTGGTATTTTCTTGGAGACAGCATGCTCTGTCCTACGTTAGTAACTTTTTGTCTGCCCCACACTGTCCTTCTTCCTCCTCATCAAGCATTCTTGATGGAAGGCCTGGCACTGGCAGAGCACTAGAAACTGGGCCCCCATCCATTAGAAGTTTAAATGCCAGTTAGGGAGATGAGAAAAACATATTCATGGAAAAATCACAACACACTGTCTCCCACTCACACACTCAGCTGCACACACACACGCACAGACACACATGCACATTGACACATGCACTCACACACACACACACACACACACTCACACACTCACACAGGGACTCATGCACATTCACACACACCATGTTTCATTTCAAAGGAAGCGTCTAGGCAGTGGCTGCTCGGGGTAACTGTAGAATTCCGAGCAGTTGCTTGCAGTGTGAGGACTATTCTGGGGCTTTGGAGCAGGGAGGGTGTCTAGTGAAAGCACCATTCTAGAAGTCATCTGAGAAGAGGCGTCCAAGCATTCGGCATGAGGTTGAGCTCCGAGGCCTCATCACTGAGCTGCCATGGCCTATCCCACCCTGTCTCTAACACCCCTCTGAGCCGGGGTGGGCATCTCTCAGAGATGGGATCTGATGCTCAGGGTCACGCAGCGAGACCAAAGCCAACTTGGAAGCCAGTTCCAGTGGCTCAGTGACACCCAGTCTACACAGCTGTCTGGGGGAGGAGACAAGAGCCAGGGAAGCTGTTAAGAGCACCTTGGGGCCTGCGTGGGCTCCAGGGGCCTGACAGACATAAGCAGTGAAGGGACTGGAGCCCATGCAGGAGGGCCTGAAGCAGCCTGGGCCGTGCCCACTCTGGCACCTCAGAGGTGGGATCCTGGCCTCGGTTTCCTTGTCAGTAAGATGGGAGCAACAGTGCCCACTGTGCAGGGCAGCTATGGGAATGGATGCTTAAAAAAATGTTGCCACCCATAGTATGGGGCCTGACAGTCTGTTCCAAACTGGCAGCTAATGTTAGTACCAGCAGCAGGGGGTGGCAGAGAAGATAAAAATTTGAGGAAAAAAGGAAGAAAAAAATAACTTGGCTGTTGTGTTGTGAACTTGGTTGTTTAAAAATTAATTTTGGCCAGGCGTGGTGGCTCATGCCTGTAATCCTAGCACTTTGGGAGGCCAAGGTGGGTGGATCACTTGAGGTCAGGAGTTCGAAACCAGCCAGGCCAACATGGTAAGTGAAACCCCATCTCTACTCAAAATACAAAAATTAGCTGGGTGTGGTGGTACGTGCCTGTTGTCCTAACTACTCGGGAAGCTGAGGCAGGAGAATCAATTGAACCCAGGAGGTGGAGGTTGCAGTAAGCCAAGATCGCACCACTGTACTCCAGCCTGGGAGACAGAGTGAGACTCTGTCTCAAAAAAAAAAAAAATCAATTAATTTAATAGACCGGGCGCAATGGCTCACACCTATAATCTCAACACTTTGGGAGGCCAAGGTGGGCAGATCACCTGAGGTTGGGTGTTCAAGACCAGCCTAGACAACATGGTGAAACCCCACCTCTACTAAAAATACAAAAATTAGCTAGGCCTGGTGCTGGGCACTTGTGGTCCCATCTACTCAGGAGGCTGAGGCACAAGAATCACTTGAACCCAGGAGGCAGAGGTTGCGGTGAGCCGAGATTGCGCCACTGTACTCCACCCTGGTGAGATTGCGCCACTGCACTCCAGCCTGGGCAACAGAGGGAGACTCTGTCTCAAAAATAATAATAAATTACACACCTATTAGGATGGCTACCACTTAAAAAAAAAAAAAGTAACAAGTGTTGTGAAGGATGTAGAGAAATTGTAACCCTGTGCACTGTTAGTAGGGGTGTAAAATGGTGTAACCACTATGGAAAACAGGATGGAGGCTCCTCAAAAAATTAAACAGACCTCCCCTATGATCCAGCATTCCTGCTTCTGGGTATACCTACAGAAGAATTGAAAGCAGAGTCTCAAAGAGATATTTGTACCCTATGTTCAAAGCACTGCCGTTTGTCGTAGGCAAGAGGGGAGAGCAACCCAGATGTCCACTGACAGCTGAATGGAAACAAAATGTGTCCGTGCATACAGTGGAATATTATTTAGCCTTAAAAAAGAAGGAAGTCCTGTCACCTGCTGTAACATGGATGAACCTGGAGGACATTAGGCTAAGTGAAATAAACCATCACAAAAAGATAAATACTACTCATGCCTGTAATCCCAGCACTTTGGGAGGCTGAGGGGCGGATCATGAGGTCAGGAAATCAAGACCATCCTGGCTAACATAGTGAAACCCCGTCTGTACTAAAAATACAAAAAATTAGCCAGGCGTGGTGGCACGTGCCTGTAGTCCCAGCTACTCAGGAGGCTGAGGCAGGAGACTTGCTTGAACGCGGGAGGTGGATGTTGCAGTGAGCCAAAATCACGTCACTGCACTCCAGCCTGGGCGACCGAGCAAGACTCCATCTCAAAAAAAAGATAAATATGATTCCACTTCTGTGAGCTGTCTACAGCAGTCAAATTCCTGGAACTAGAAAGTAGAATGGTGGTTGCCATTAGCTGCAGGGAGGGGCAGTGGGAATTTGTTTGAAGAGTACAGGGTTTCACATTTGCAAGATGAACAAGCTCTGGAGATCTGTTTCACAACAATGTAAATATACTTAACACTACTGAACTATAAATAAGATTGATTACAGTGGTAAATATTATGTTATGCTTTTTACCAAAATTTTTTAAAAAATCATTTTGACCATGAATAGATGATATAGATGAACCTCAAATACACCAAGATGAGCTATGCTCAAGACAAAAGTCACCATGTACGGGAATACCTGGGAGACACTGTGGGTTCCGTTCCAGACCACTGCAATAAAACAAGTTTCACAATACCCATGAAGTTTTTGGTGTCCCAGCACATAGAAAAGTTATGTTTCTGTAATGGTGTACCATAGTCTATTAAATGTGTCTAAAAAACAATGTATATACCTTAATTTGAAAATATTTTATTGCTAAAAAATAATGCTAGCAACCCTGTGAACATTCAGCAAATCATAATTTTGCTGATGGAGGGTCTGGGCCTTGATGTTGATGTCTGCTCACCCATCAGGGTGGTGGTGATTAAAGGTTGGGGTGGCTGTGGCCATTTCTTAAATTAAGACAGCAATGAAATTTGCTGCATCAATTAACTCTTCCTTTCACAAAAGATTTCTTTGTAGCATGCAATACAGTTTGATAACATTTTACCCACTGTAGAATTTCTTTCAAAATTGGAGTCAGTCCCCTCACACCCAGCCTCTGCTCTGACAACTGGGTTTGTGGAATATTCTAAATCCTTTGTTGTCATCTCAACAATGTTCACAACATCTTCACCAGGAGTAGATTCCATCTCAAAAAGCTTTCTTTGCTCATCCATACCAAGCACCTCCTCATCTGTTCAAGTTTTGTCGTGAGATTGCAGCAGTTCAGTCACATCGCCAGACTCCACTTCTAGTTCTCTTGCTATTTCCACCACATCTACAGTGGCTTCCTTCATTAAAGTTTTGAATCTCTCAAAGTCATATGTGAGAGTCGGAATCAACTTCTTCCAAACTCCTGTTAATGTTGGTATTTTCACTTCCTCCCATGAATCACAAATGTTCTAATGGCATCTAGAATGGGGAATCCTTTCCAGAAGGTTTCAATGGACTCCCTAGACCCATCAGAGGAATCACTATCTATGGCAGCTCTAGCCCTACAAAGTGTATATCTTAAGTAAAATAAGACTTGAAAGTCAAATTGCTCCTTGATCCATGGGCTGCAGAACAGATGCTGTATTTGCAGACAGGAGAACAACATTCATCTCCTTGCATATCTCCATCAGAGCTCTCCGGTGACCGAGTGCATTGTCAATGAGCAGTAATATTTTGAAATATTAATTTTTTTTCTGAGCAGTAGGTCTCAACAGTGGGCTTAAAATATTCAGTAAACCATGCTGTAAACAGATGTGCTTTGTTGTTCCATTTCTAGAACACAGGCAGAGTAATTTAGCATCATTCCTAAGAGCAATAGGATTTTTGGAATGGTAAGTGAACATTGGCCTCAACTAAAGTTACCAGCTGCATTAGCCTCTGAGAAGAGAGTCAGCCTGTCCTTTGAAGGCAGGCATTGCCTTCCCTCTGGCTATGGAAGTCCTAGCTGGCATCTTTTCCCAATAGAAGACTGTTTCTTCTACATTGAAAATTTATTGTTACTGTAACCACCTTCATCAATGATCTTAGCTGGATCTTCTGGAGAACTCGCTGCAGCTTCTCCATCAGCACTTGCTGCTTCACCTTGCACTTTTAGGCTATAAAGATGGCTTCTTTCCTTAAACCTCCTGAAGCAACCTCTGCTAGCTTCCAGCTTTTCTTTAGCTTCCTGACTTCTCTCAGCCTTCACAGAATTGAAGAGAACTAGGGCCTTGCTCTGGATTAGGCTTTGACTTAAGGGAATGTTGTGGCTGGTTAGATCTTCTATCCAGACCACTTAGACTGTCTCCATGTCAGCACTAGGGCTATTTTGCTTGCTTATTATTCATGTGTTCATTGGAGTAGCACTTTAAATTTCCTTCAAGAAGCTTTCCCTTTGCATTCACAACTTGGCTAACTGGCCCAAGAGGCCTAGCTTTTGGCCTATCTCTGATTTTGATATGCCTTCCTCACTAAGCTTAATCATTTCTAGTTTTTGATTTAAACTGAGAGACATGCAACTCTTCCTTTCAGTTGAACACTTAGAGGCCACTGTAGGGTAATTTATTGGCTCAATTTCAATATAGCAATATCTCAGGAAATAGGCAGGAGGAGAAGGAGAGAGACAGGGGAGTGAGCGGTCAGTGGAGCAGGGAGAACACACATAGCATTTATCAGTGAAGCTTACCGTCTCATATGGGAACAGTTCATGGCACCCCAAAACAATTATAATAGTAACATAAAAGATCACTGATCAGAGATCACCATAACAGACATGATAATAATGAAAAAGTCAGGAATACTATGAGAATTACCAAAATGTGACACAGAGACATGACGTGAGCACATACCGCTGGAAAATCGCATCAGTGGACTTGCTCGATGCAGGGGTGCCACAAACCTCAAATTCGTAAAAAAACGTCGTATCTGAAGGCCAGGTGCAGTGGCTCATGCCTGTAATCCCAACACTTTGGGAGGCCAAAGTGGGCAGATCACAAGGTCAGGGGTTCGAGACCAGCCTGGCCAACATGGTGAAACCCCATCTCTACTAAAAATACAAAAATTAGTCGGGTGTGGTGGCCCACAGCTGTAGTCTCAATTACTCGGGAGGCTGAGGCAGGAGAATCGCTTGAACCTGGGAGGCGGAGGTTGCAGTGAGCTGAGATCACACCACTGCACTCCAGCCTGGGCGACAGAGTAAGACTCCATCTCAGAAAAAGAAAAGAAAAAACATCGTATCTGTGGAGTGTGATAAAGTGAATAAAATGAAGCACAATAAAACAAAGTCACCTGTATCATGTACAGTGCCGCTTGCATATATCGTTAATCTTTTCTCTTTTTATTTTTCCCAGTAATGCCATCGGTCCGCTGGTAGCTTTGTGGCTGATTTACAAACAAGGCGGGGTAACGCAAGAAGCAGCTACACCCGTCTGGCTGCTGTTTTATGGAGGAGTTGGAATCTGCACAGGCCTCTGGGTCTGGGGGAGAAGAGTGATCCAGACCATGGGGAAAGACCTCACTCCCATCACGCCGTCCAGGTAAGCCTGGGCTGGTGGACGGGAAGGGCAGGTCTTGTCATCCGAGGCCTGGCTAGAGCTGCCTGGCTGTGTCTGAACAGCCTGCTCAGCACCGGCAGTCGGCAGTGAGTCACAGGGAGGAGGGGACAGTGGGCAAGAATGGCCCTACTTACCATGCCACCTATCCTTGCCCTCCCTCACTGTGTCCCGGCCCCCAGCCACAGGGTCCCTGAGATGAGAAGCGGGAAGGGCAGACAAGCAGGGGTAGCAGAGCAGAGCAGGCAGGGAGGAGAGAAGCAGCTCACCCTTAGCCAGCACGGGGGCCAGAGGCAGGTGGGCAGGGAGGGCACAGACTTAAGCAGGCCCCCAGGCTGGCCTTTCCTGAAAGTTCTCTGGCCACCCCAGCTCTCAGCAACCTCCCTGCTGGGGTTACTTTCCTCTTGCTCTGCCAGACAGCAAGGCGCCCCTTGTCATCATGGGTGAGCTCTGGAGGCTTTAAATGTGGTCTCTCAACTGCATAGCCTTTAGCTGCATCAGGGGTTAAAGGAACTTCCAGAACTTTCAGAACATGACCAAAATTTGGAGCCACTTGTGGTAGGAAATCTCTCTCTTTTTAAAACATACAGGAGGTTTCCTTTTCCTACAGGCTCTGGGAGTTTCAGGAAGTGATCCAAAGGCACCCAGGGTGGGGAGGACCGGAACCCAGGTTTCATCACGCAGCTGTGCCCTGCATCTGCAGAGAAACCTGAAATAGCTCCAGTGAGCCTCTTATATAAATTTCCAGTTTTAAGTTCTCACTTGAAAATAATTTCAATAAAAGATATTTTAGAAGATTGATTTGAAGAAAAATTCGTAATCTGAGAAAAATACACTTTTGTAATAAGTGCACATTTTTTAAATGAGAGCATAGTTTTTCCTTTGCGTTTTAGAAATGACTGATTTACTACCTTACTACACAGCAGGAATGTCTGGCCCAGTGTGTGGTCTTTGAAACGTATCAGAAAGCCAGGCTTCTGGGGGCCGTGCACAGGAAAACACAGCCTTGGTGGGAATCGCTGTCATTGAGCAGCAGCCTCTTGTTCTGTTAAAGTTGATCTTGCCCAGTCAGCAGTCGGCAGTCGCCCCAGAGAATGTTCTGGCAAGCCTTTGTCACCCGCGGGGTGTCAGGGAGGCGATACAGAGGACGCCCGTGACGTGTCTCATGCTCCCCCCGCAGTGGCTTCACGATCGAGCTGGCCTCAGCCTTCACGGTGGTGATCGCCTCCAACATTGGGCTTCCAGTCAGCACTACGCACTGCAAGGTAGGCCCCTGCTAGCCGGGAGCCCTTCTCCAGGCCACTGGGATGGGTCAGGGCCACCGGAACGCATGCGAGGGAAGCTGTAGGGCTCTGTAGATGGTTGTGCAAAACACATCTCCAGGTTCTCTGGGTCTCTGGGACCTTGTTTTCCTCCATCTGCCCCCTCCACCATCCTCCTCTCAGTAGGACAACACCATCCCTTGTTCAGACCTGACTTTTCCAAGGCAGAATGAATGCTAGGGCTGGTCTGCCTGGGACTGTCCTGCTGCCCTCCCACTGCTTCCACGGTGAAGTTTGATTGGCATCCTGTGTGCGCTGAGCATACCTATGGGCTCACTTGGGAGCCTGCCACTTGGTCCAGCCATTGAGGGGACTGGGGGTTGACAGTGGAAATAGCAATTAACAAAAATCATCTCTGTGGAATTGTAGGGCATGGTTGTTTCTGGTTTTGTTCCTTATATGATGTTCAAAGTGACTGTATTGCTATAAATTCCCCATGAGGGGTAATTACTGATACCGACCACTGAGGAGTGCTCTGAAACCTACAGCTGGACAAGAGAGCTCCTGGTCGTGGTGTGGAAAGTTGGAGCTGCAGGGAGGAGCCCTGAAGACCAGTGAAGAGGAAATGGGCTCTGGGAGTTTCAGGGAGTGATCCATAGGTGGCCAGGGTGGGGAGGACCAGAACCTGGGTTGGGAGGACCAGAGCCCGGGTCTCATCACCCCACTCTGCCCAGTATCTGCAGATACTTCTAAAATAGCTCCGGTGAGCCTCTGTATACAGACACACTCACCAGTCTCAACAAAGCGAAAGTCACTTCTGGATTTTTCCTAGCTTCATTCATTTGTATCATTCAAGAAAAACTAATTGGCGTTTGCTGCATGGGGGCAGAGTTCTCGGCACCAGAAGGAATATATGAGCCCTCATAATAGACACAGCCACCCATGTTTATATTTACTCACAATTTTAAGATTCCAGCCAGTATGTTTAAAAGAAAACTCCAAGCAAAGGCAAGTGGCTTCATGCTTCAAACACCCAGGTCAGGTGGCCCTCACAAGAGTATCTGGAGTGGTCCAGCAGCGTTTCCAAGCTGGGGCTCTGTGCATGCGGAATCAGCCTCAGTGGAAAGAGTTTGCTTTGTGTTTTCCTTTTTTGCTACCATATACAGAAATATTTCAATTTCCACAAAGTTTCTGTATAGAAATCCCCCTACTCACTGATTATCAGGAGAGTGCTGGTACTGTGCGCCACACCACACACGTGGTGCACCGCCCCCTCTCCACAGCAAGCCTGTGGGGGCGGAACTGTCACTCCCAGTCCACAGGTGAGGAGACTGGGTTCCCTCAGAGCTGGGCCGCTTGCTATGTGCACACAGCCACATGTGGTAGATCCAGGATTCAGATCTTCGCCTCAGGCCACACACCTTCTCGTTCAGGTCCCCATCAGCACCATTGTGGTGCCCAACCATGGCCAAGGTGCCTGGGGCAAGCACTGCACTGGCGCCATGAACATGAGCTTCCTCAGTCTCCCCAAGAACCTTCCCCAGCTTCACAGATGAGGAAACTGAGGCAGAGGAAAGTTAAGTAACGTGCCCGAGATTACACAGCCAGGGAGCAGCCCAGCTGAGGCGCCCACGTGGACAGCATAGCCAGCGTCGTCCTCCGGGACCGCTCCGCCTGGCAAGCATGGGGGAGGAAGGCAGGAAGAGGTGCAGGTGCGCCCGCCGCCCATTCATTGTGATTTCCTAATGTGGGTTATTTAAAACTTACCAGAGAAGCACATATTCACTGAAATATTTCAAACAATACAACACTATAAGGAATGAAAAGTAACATCTTCCCCGGACTCCACGTTACTTCCATTCACTGTGGTGTGTGGAGCGTGGAAGAGACGCATGTAGCTAAATATATTCTTTTTCCAAGGACACGGGCTTGTGACTTTTCTATAGGCATCAGTTGTCTTTTGGAATGCTTTTAAACACATGTAATGCCATCTTTTTAATGATTAACCTACACTTAAGCAAGACTGCTGAAGGCTAACTCTTCCACACCAGTTGAAATAGCTTTTTTTTTTTTTTTTTTGAGATGGAGTCTCACTCTGTCACCCAGGCTGGAGTGCAGTGGCATGATCTTGGCTGACTGCAAGCTCTGCCTCCTGGGTTCACGCCATTCTCCTGCCTCAGCCTCCCGAGTAGCTGGGACTCCAGGCGCCTGCCACCACGCCCAGCTAATTTTTTATATTTTTAGTAGAGATGGGTTTTCACCGTATTAGCCAGGATGGTCTCGATCTCCTGACCTCGTGATCCACCCGCCTTGGCCTCCCAAAGTGCTGGGATTATAGACATGAGCCACCATGCCCTGCCAGTTTTGCTTCCTTTGAGCTGGTGATAAGTAGTATTAGGATAGCTTGTTGGCACTTAAAGCAGGTCTCCCTGAATGGGACTGCAGTGGGGTGCCATCTGTAAAATAGACAAGACAGGTCACAACTTGGGTTTGAGTCAGTTTGTCCAATATCATTGATCATGGACTTCTGGACAAAGCCCAGAGCTATTCCCTGTGAGCACTAAGGACACAGCCTCAGCTCTCAGGAACTTGCAGTGTAGTTGGAGAGCAGATGGCTCTCATCAGAGTCCAAATAATAGAAGTGCTGAGAAGAGTTCACAGTTGTCATTACTCCACAACACTTATTCTCTCATATCACATATTTCCCCTGCACACAACAGTCCCCAAATGGCAAATGTGGGATGAACTATGAGAGCCGTGGGATGGCGTGAAGAATGGGGCCCTCTGTGAGTGAGGCTGTGAATCTGGAAACATTCAAAGGGTATTGATGTCCACATAGAGTCATAGTTGAATTGCATCAGTTTTCAGGATAATTATCCTATGTTTGATTTTTAAGTTTCTTGCTTAGAGCCATCTAATAGAAGGTAGGGAAAAGTTGGGGACTTGGCAGGAAATAAGATGGAAACTATTGTTTAAAATGAGTTTTTGAATGTATCTAGGTACATGTTATTGATTTATGCTTCCTTCTAAGTATACATGGCTAAGTGCATAGATTTGTTTTATTCCGTTTTGTTTTGTTTGAGACAGAGTCTCGCTTTGACGCCCAGGCTGGAGTGCAGAGGCTTGATCTTGGCTCACTGCAACCTCTGCCTCCTGGGTTCAAGCAGTTCTCCTGCCTCAGCCTCCTGAGTAGCTGAGATTACAGGCGTGCACCACCACACTTGGCTAATTTTTGTATTTTTAGTAGAAATGGGGTTTCTCCATGTTAGCCAGGCTGGTCTTGAACTCCTGACCTCAAGTGGTCCACCTGCCTCGGCCTCCCAAAGTGCTGGAATTACAGGCATGAGCCACTGCGCCTGGCCTAAGTGCATAGTTTAAATTTTGTTGTAGCCTATTTCAAAACATTTATGAAACCATACTATATTATGTGATATATGTGCTGAATGTATAACTTGGGAAAAAACAATTAGAAAAGTCCTGTTATCACATTTTATTCCAGAAGGCATATATAAGACAGTCTGTTTGATGAGTTTCACCCTGTATGTGTTCTGGTTTCATACATTTTGTATTTCATATCAGAGGATTCAGTTTATCAGATACTTTCCTGGAATAATTCCTTTGAGTAGGGTCAAAAGCCTTAATTGGCCAGGCACAGTGGCCCATGCCTGTAATCCCAGCTACTCGGGAGGCTGAGGCTGGAGAATCGCTTGAACCTGGGAGGCGGAGGTTGTGGTGAGTGGAGATCGCACCATTGCACTCCAGCCTGGGCAACAAGAGCAAAACTACCCCCGGCCCCCCCCCCAAAAAAAAAAACAGAGGCGTTAATTGAAGACATAGAAACTGGTCTTGAAAATAAAAGAATCCTCAGACGTTATGTTTCAGCAACTCGTTCATCGTTCTTCCATTCTGTGATCCTTAATCACCTTTGGTCTTTAGCCCTAGCAGATAACACACAGTGCCGCTACTGAGCACAGTCGCTCTTGTGTGTGCTCTTTAATAGGAATTTGGAAGTCATGTTCTGCAGGATGTTTTAATTCCATACTGGGTGGATTGAGATTATTCCTGTTTGTGGATCACCCACATTGTCAATCTTCACTGATGACATAGATGATGATTCAACCACCATTTCAATTTGGAACAGCATATAGGGAACGCTACTTATTTCAGATGTAGGATTATAATTTCTAATTTAACTTATAATTCTTGCTCTCTGGTCCCCATTCTTCTCAACCATTTTTTTGCTATAACTACCTGATGATGGCCTTAAACTGGAAATACACTCGATTTATTAAAAGGGAAGTTAGAACACAGCAAAAAATACCATTTTACATCCACAGAAGACATGATCAGTAACAAAGACATAGTACTCTGGATCTTTTATGAATCAAATAACATATAACTAAATACATAAAATTGTTAAGAACTCAGAAATTACTGTCTTAGCCTATGATAAATGAAGTATAGAAAAAGTATGTGGGAATATGAAGAATTTGAACATTTATTTAGAGCAGCATAATTAATAAATATGTACAAGCTTTTACCCTGCTGATCATATGCCTTCCTGTCAAGCATCATGAAACATTTATAAAAATCCTAAAATCAGAAAACCATGATAAAAATCTCTATAAAATTTTAAAAACAGGCCTGGCATCGTGGCTCACACCTGTAATCCCAGCACTTTGGGAGGCTGAGGTAGGAGGATCACTTGAGCCCAGAAGTTTGAAACAAATCTGGGCAACATAATGAGGCCCTGTCTCTATTTTATAAAAATTAAAATTTAAATTAAAAAACAATTTTTAAACATACATTGTGCTAACCATGATCTCTAATTACAACAAAATTAAACTAGAAATTAATTATATATTGAAATAAGAATGTATCCCAACGGAGACTTTTTAATGGGTTTTTAAGGTAGCAATTGAATTAAGGAGTTTAGAAAAATACAATGATAGCTTTCTCAGAAAATAATAAAAGCTGAATGTGTGTGTCTGTGGGTGGATACA